ACTCTAGACTTAAAACGTGCATATCGACATCCGATATGAAACCCTAAAGTCTGCATCAAACCGTACTCGCACTGGATGCGAAAAACCCTGGTAACCGGAGCCGAAGAAACCGTATCCAACAAACCATATCCAGAAAGCCAGGGCCCAGAAAGCCGGTACCAAAAACACCGGATCCGAAAAGAGTGTGGTTCTTGGTAGGCGGATTTTTAGACTACGATTTCCTGTGCGTGCTTCGGATTTCTAGGCACTCTGTTTAGGACTCGGTGTTTTGAACTCCCGATTTTGGAACACGGTTGTCTACCTTGAAGTTTACTGGATAGGCAATTTGGGATACGGTTTTGGGGATAGGGATACGGTTTTGCACGATTCTTGTTGATGTCGATATGCAGTTATAACTCTAGACCCCCCCCCCACCGTAAGGGACCCGGTAAACCTCAACTCTGAGCCATAGGGTTTAGAATTTAGGCCTTATAGGGTTAAGGGTCTAAACTCGAAACAAATGAGACAGGACCGCTACACATCGGTAGCCATCTCAATTTGGACGGGGCGGCAGCACCAGTTGCGCCCTTAGCCTCTAGAGGCCACTGTCGGACTCGAACTGCGTTGGAGGCCTTTGGGTTTCAGGCTTTGGGGTTGCAGGGTTGCAGGGTTTGGGGCTTAAGAGCCCGGGTTTTGGGGCTGCGGGGTTGTTGTGTGTTCGCCTTGGGCTTTGTCTCGAATGCGGCTAGAAGACCCTGTCCGGACATCAAACATTACAGTAAACCCTACACCCTAAAGCCCGAAACCCAGCCTATGGCGGGCTCTAGACCTCGTTTGCGGGAGAAAGGGCCATCATGCTTTAAAAACAAAAGCCCGAAACCCCTAAACCCTAAACCCCAAGCTTGGGGAGTCGTTGTTGCGGTTGCTTCCCATCAGACAGAACGAGGCCTTGTGGAAGGTTTCCAAGATGAGATGAGTAGCAGAAACCTTCAACAGCCCTAAACCCTAACCCTGGGGCTCCAAATAGCCCAAAGTAGGTAGTATTTACAGACTTTAGACCCCAAAGTAGGTACTATTTGTATACTTGGAGCCCTAGGGTAAATGTTAGACGTAAAACTCCTCATAGTCTTAAGACTAGGACGAGCGCAGTTCGCACAATGCTGTTCGCAATGAGAATTGTGGTGTTCACTGTCATAACCCATCTGGATATGAGCTACAATCAAGACCACAGTCCATTTAAAACTTAGAGCCCCTGTCAAGGAACCATGGCCTCTTGGGCTTGTCGGCAATGCTGACAGTAGGTCATGCGGCCGCTGATGCTGGTCACTGCACCTTAAAATAAAAAGGTGTTCTGACAATGAATGGCATGATCTGATTTGCATGCGCTGTCAGCCTTCTGTAAGAATTGCTTCCACAGCTCTGCGTCACTCCCTTCCCCCACTGAGCATCATGTTGAAACACGTTTCACAACCCGGGTACTTATTTAAGTCCATTACCTACAAGCCTCCGCATCCTTTACGCCCTTTACACGAGGATCCGGGTGCATCTCCAGCATCTCGGTCATCCGAGCGTCCACGATGGAAGGCCTGTGGCAAACTCGTCTAAACTCGCAGCGCAGAATTTGGCGGCCACTCCATGAGCCTGTTCAGATGTTTACACTGGATGTTACGAGCGTGATTAGACTTAGGATAGATTTGTGCGTGTCAGCTGCTGGTAGCTTACACAGTCGAGCACGACTATAGAGTTCTCTAGGCCATCTTACCTATCTTGCGCCGCCACAGCAAGCAGAAAGTTACACTGATCACGATGCCGTGGTTACCCGACTCACTACATGTAGTTATAGAACTCCTTCGAAGCATGCCACTCTCGTCTGGATGCTTCGGGCACGCTCTGCTAGCAGCCCAGGTACACGGATCAGCGCGTGTTCCTGCAGGAGTTGCGACCGGATGCGCACTGACCATGACTGGCCGCGAGAACGATCCAGAACTGCAACCCGAAACGAAGAAGCATATATATATATATCTCTCTCTATATATACATATATATAGTCTATATATGTATATCTATATCTATATCTATATCTATATCTATATCTATATCTATATCTATCTATATATGTATATATATATATATAGAATTCTAAATTGACCGAGCACCGTTGCAAGTCACATGGCGTCGTGGATGCACTGCCACCTGCCACATGATTATAACTACCCCGAGCAGCATGTTCGCTTGGACCTTCGTCGCCGGCGCTGCGAGAAAGCAACCCCGAGCGCGGCTGCTTGAAAGCACGTGAGCGTAGATTTCCAGTGTACAGAGCATTTGGCTCAAGTGAATCGAGTCGTGGTGAAGCGATCGCATTTGGACTGTCCCTGCCGCTGTAGTGAAACATGAGCAGCGATGGAAAGATGGAAATCAGCGAGGCGGCAAAGTCTGGCGACGGTACCCTTAAAAACGTCGGCATCAAAGTGAACGGGAAGTTCAAGTCACCTGTCAACAACCAGTTGTTTGACACAAAAGAGGCCCTCGATCTCCACTTGAAGTACCTTCACGATCCGAAGAAGGCCAACCCAAATGTCGAGGAGTGAAGAGCGTGTTAGGCAGCATACGGCTCGATTTCTTGCGACGATTTTTTATCGTCACAACTGAGGGGTGATTTTGTTCTTGTAGCGCCTACTGCGCTACAGCAAGGCGTTTTAATTTTTGTACCACCACCTGCGCTCCAGATACCTGCTTTCCATTTGATGTGAGGGCCACTCTGGAATGGTGTACTCTCCGTGGTCGATAAGGACCCACTTTCTGCAGCAAGATACACGTCATGACGCAAAAAGGCGCCCTAAAGTCAGTATATAGGAGCTACTGCGCAGTCCAAGAATGCTTATACCCGTTCGTGCGAATGTTGTCTGTAGTGACCGTGGTGAGCATAGACTCGTTATTTTGTAGGTGTGAGGACGCAAGCTCATTGGGGCGAGGGACATGCAGGACGAGTACCTTGTTTGCTTGGTGCAGTTGATACCGGTATGCGATGCAATGCACGTCGAACTCCCGTGGCTCGTTCGTTGCTGGATCGCTCAGCTCAGGCGTCAGGGCTCTTTGCACATCTTTTCCTCCTGAGCATGTCGATCAATTCTGCATTGTAATTAAAGTTCAGGCTAGGAATCTGCGTGTCCGAACCGCAGTTTCGACTAAGTAGGCCATTGTCTCAAGGTAGATGTGAGCAAGAGTCCCCAAACCTTGGGACGATGAACACCCGACTTGGGCTGCTAACTTGAGGCATTCTGCGATCCCCTGAGTTCTGGTAGCCGCGGAACTCTTACCCCAATAAGCCGAGAGCCAATGCTGCTGCTCGCCGTTGCCGCAACTGTGCTTGCAGCAGTCGCATTGGCATGGTGCCACGGCAAACATAAGACCACCCACATATAATTAATATAATGTATAACTTACTTCTATATATATATATATGTATATATCTATATATATATATATGTATAAGAAAAATGTGTGTAGATACACATCATAGTGCCCGACGTTTCTGTGCAGTTCAGCGGTTTCCACGCACACTTGAGCGCAAGATCTCCTTCTCCACTTAGGCTCGAGCCCGACGTAGTGTTTCTCCTCATCAGCGAGCTCGTTCAGCTGGGCCTGGGGCTCACTCTAAAGCGTGTTTTTGTCTTGTGTTAATTTCGGTCGTGCCTTCAGCTGCCTACAGGTGTTGCGTCTGTTCTGGGTGTGCAGCATTCTTACAGCCTGGAGCTTTGCCTTCAGATCTGGCCTCTCCAGCCCACCACTGGCTACTATATATATATATATGTATGTGTATATAATGTGTATATATATATATATGTATGTATGTATATATATATATAAGTGGGTAAGTACTTATGTGTTCCATTCTCCTCCTATGGGCCGTGAGCACCTCCGATGGCACTTTTGATTTTCCGGGAGCCTCGTAAAGCCCCGGCCTGCGCCCTAAGCCGGTTTAGGGTTTAGGCTTTGAGGCTGTAGGGCTTTAGGGTTTAGGCTTTAGGGCTTAGGGTTGCCGAAGCCCTACCTATAGTGACAACTATATTCATGTTTTTGTTTTTCGTTTATCCAGTTTTACATTGCCGGATCGTATAAGGTAACCCCCAGAGGGACCAAAAGGAACTTCAATGCTCAAGGCTTGTTTCCCGAGAGTCTGTGCTCGTCATCCTTGCGATTTGCAGCTGCCCTGGCGCGACAGACGAGGCCCCGGAGAAATCTGCAGCACTAGGCGTCAGCCACAGAACACAGCAGTGATACCCCATGCAATGACCATCGACATGCAAGACAATCAGAACAGAGTAGATTACTGTGTTGATGATGGTTTGCAAGGTAGTGATCGGCGGCTGCCCATGCTAGCAAGAATTATGGCGATGACAACGGTGCTTGTGAAGATGGTGGACGACGGCCATGCAGCCAATGATGACAACGTTGCCAATTCTCACGTTTGACCTGAAGTGCAGAACTTACTGAAGTGGCCCTGAGCTTGAACGATGCGTTCTACCCTTTGCACAGCATCGTTCCCTATTCTAATCAGCTTCTTATATTTCTGAACGAGGGTCGTGTAGCGTCATTTTCACCCTCACTTTCACGATTAGCGTGTCCTAATGACTCTTATGACCATCCAGACTTTGGCTCACTGCACTATAGTCACTAGTGAGACAGATTGATGCCATTGATGCCAATTGATGCTTGTCATAATTCGGGGGCCTAAATCATTACCAATACTATTTTGGTAGTTGCTTAACATACTTCTAGTATAATATACCCCCCAAACCCTATTCTAACTATTAAGGCCCCTCTATTACTCGGACCATGGGTCTGACGTCAACAGCGTTAGCTTCGCAAGTCCTACACCGTGATCAATGCAGCCGTGGTTGTTGCTGCCAGCGTAGCAACATTGACACTCTTTCTATTTACTTTTAGCACCGTCGTCATCCTGGTTGCTGCCAGTGCCTTATTATTGGTGTGACCGACTTCTCCTAGTAGCATGACCGGTGATGTCATTGTGTTTTACGTTGGATTGCTGTTGGGGACCCGCAAATTTGTGTATTCACGCAGCTGCTCTTGATATCGCGGGGCTCGACTATCGGCGGTGTGACAGTGGGACACAGAATCCTCCACCGCCTCCACTACTCCCAGCCGGGCTATCGTTGCCCTTCTCAGTACTGAGGCGTTTCCATCTGCGCAAGATGAATCTGACATCGGTCGAGGTGGCGTGCAGAGTGGTTGTGGCAGGGGGGTTCAATGATGTAGTGTTGCATCCTTATTGCTTCTAGGACATTTTGGACGATGCTGATGACGGCTGAAATAAGTATGTTGTGTTTTTGTGTATGTTGCTTCGTACTATGGCAGACGCGCCTTCTAGCTGTTTAGGGCATCCAACATGACGTATGCCAGAGCAGGGTTCTTGTCCCAAGGTGCAAACTGCGCTGCGCCAGCTTGGCAAACTAGATGCCTTTCTCGTCGAGGAGCGACCTGGATTGAAGTGTGTCGAACTGCAAAAGCCTTACAGGCCCCCCGGCAGCCGAACTACTGTAGTTACAAAGGTCGTCCACCCAAGATCCTGTCATGTTCCTGATTCTGGCTCTCTTTGCCCGTGCTTAGGAGTTGTGCGAGAACTGCGGTTGTCATGGGCAAAAGTGTACGAGTGAGAGGGGCTTCGGGAGCTTGCAGGATCGAGGGTGCCAAGGAACGCAGGCATTGACAAGCAGTCAGCTGCTATCATGCGGCCTCCTTGGTTTTGGGGTTTAGGGGTGAGGCAGTATATGTTGGTTTTGCATGACCCTCATTCGATAAGTCCCCGTTTGGTGCGTTTCGGTGCTACTGAGTGCTGCCATCAGCTTTCGGTTGGATGCATACGTGAGCACTGTCATTGACATTGGCGGTGTCTCGCTTACTACCTTTAGTCTATGCCTACGGTATATGTATACATGCATACATACATACATACATACAAACATACATACATACATACATACATACATACATGTGTGCATACATACATATATACAGACATGCATACATACATACCTCTTACCTCTATATATATACACACATAATATGTATGTTTATCCTTATATGTATGCATGTGTGTGCATATATATATATATACAGAGAGAGAGAGAGAGAGAGACAGAGAGAGCGTGTGTGTGTAGTTCGGGGCAGGTTTGAGCATTTTGCTGCACTACTCAACCATACCTCCTGTTTCATCCAGGTTAAGAAAGACCAGAACCTGAATAGGAATCTTTACTACTCCCCTAAACCTTAAAATCCCTAAGCCCTAAACCTTAAACCCCTAAACCCCCAAACCCTAAACCATAATAACCCTTAACCCTTGGGCCCCCATACATGTTCCGCCTCATGGAGGACTGCACTTTGGGGGCAGAGGCCTTCAAGCAACTCGAAGAGGCTCGAGCCGACCATGCGTTTTATTCTATCATTCTTCATTATAATGTATTATCCTTAGTACTGTTGCCACATGTCATTAGGATTTTAGATTTTGAGTGCTACGCTTGTTTTATGGTTGTGTTATTGGCATTCTCCGTCGTGGATTTCCTATCAGACGCTTCTTAAAACAAGGTAGATAGATAGATCGACAGCTATATCCCTTGTGTTTTGAGGGGTGTATATCTAGAAGCCTACTACTGGGATCTACAGTAGGGCTTGGATTAAGGAGGAGCGGTGTCTCGAAAAGGCTCCAGGTGAGTGGCTACCTTGAGCGACGACTTGCATTTTATAGGGTTTTGTTTTCGGCAAGTTTGAAGACTTAGTTTTGCATTGATTTGTACGCAACAGAAGCCTGAAGAATTACCCGGCATTATTCCTTCGGGTTCATTATCGTCTTAGTAAAGATACCCCAAACCCCATTCTTTTTGTTGAGGCCCCTACATCAGGTATTTCGGGGGTTTTGAACAGCTTGGCCTGGAACTCTTTAAGGAGCTTCATTGCTTCAACCTCAAAAGGGTTGCAGCAAACCCTGGACTAGAAGCCCTAAGCAAGGGAGACATGGGCATCCGTCACTGATGCACTGCGCCACTAAGTCCTCAAACTCTAGACTCAACGTTTCGGCCGGTCTTGGTAGCGCTGCGCTGCCCTCAGGTCCTTCGGAGCTGTTCTGAGCTGCGCCTTGTCTTGAGCCACAGGGCTACTGTATTTGGTTGAAACAGGGTTGGAGTTTGGAGATGTTCGTTGCCAGTTCCGTTTGCCGGAATGCTGTCAACTGATAAGCCACTCATTTCCGAGTATACACATGCAGTTCACCAGTATCACGGTCGCAGCCGCGTGCACAATGAGCCCTCATCTCAGTTCTCAAGCTCCAAAGCATGAATTCTGCAACATCTAGAAGCGGGCGCTCTTCGAGTCCTAAAACAAGGCTATCACCCTGAGGCCACGAACACCGGGAGAACTGCCCCTGCAGGTCTGAAGCCTTCACGCCTTCTAGCTCAGCCGTAAAACGCTGACCTATAAACCCGTCTAGAACCCATAAGCACCCCAAATAGGCATTCAGAAAAGAGAGAAAGGCATGCTGTGGGGCCGCTGTTGTTGCGCACAGTTGATGTCAGGCTTACGGGGGGCTGGCTGCGTTCTAGGATGTGTCACGTTCGTACCGGTTGCTGGTAGGTGTTGTTCGAAGTAATCCACAAGAGGGAAGTAGGAAATGATTAATCAGTTAGGAAACCTAGAACGGCGGAAGGGGTGGGGGGGGGGGGGGGTGCAACAACCAAAGCAATGCACTAACATATCTCCATCCTCCAGCCCTACCATGGAACAAGATCCCATCCCAAGACCAGGCCCTCTAGAATCCCACTATCCCTTGACCCTTTCAACCCCCAAAGGTCGTTCATCCGATGCCCCTTGGGTGCCTTACCACCCGGACTCACCGAGCTGGCTCCACGCGCCTTGCGGCCGCGCGGCTTTGGGCCACTTAGGGTTCAGAGCTTCAGGGCTTAGGGTGTATAGGGTTTACGGTCACTTAATTAGGGTTCAGAGCTTCAGATTTCAAGGTGCTGGGTTGCTTGCAGGGCTTTTAAGTATGGCCTTTGTGGACTCTCTATGGACGTTTGATGGGTTTCAGAGTCTTGGGGTTTGGCGGTGCATCGCCTTCTGGTTTTAAGAGCGCGAAGCCAAATCTAGGCCACTGCCCCAGATCATGTCATAAGAGCCCAACTACTTGCCAAATATTCCTTAAGGGTTCCTTCTTCTTAGAACTGTTCTAAAACAGGCTGGATCAGAGAGAGAGAGAGAGAGAAATAGATTTTCGGGTTGTTGGTGCTGCATGTCAAGATCCGTGAAGAGAATTGCCCAACACAGACTAGCAGAAAAAAATGGCTTCTACATCAGGGCAGGGTCGAGGTGCAGGTTCGGACCTCAGACATCTTCAGGGTCTAAAGAGGTCAAGCGGAAACTCATTCAGCGTGCGATGTGCTTCGAGCATTTGGGCTGTCATGCATGCGGGGTTGGGAGGCCGCACTCAAATGCCTAGGGTTTAGGGCTTAGGGCTGTTAGGGTTTAGGGCTTATAGGTTTATAGTTATAGGGCTTATAGGGCTTATAGGGTTTATAGGGCTTCGGGCTTATGGGGTTTATAGGGTCAGTTGCAATACATTGAATTGGGAGACCCCGGCAGGGATGAAGCCATCATCCTAAGCTTCAAGCACAAGCTCGCAAACCCCACACGCCGATCCCTGACCTCAAGCAACTTCATTCCCGCTGAAGGTTCCGGAACTGCAAACTGGATGCAGACGCCTTGTCCGAGATGAGCACAGCGGTCAGGAGGGACCCATGTCATCAAAGCAAGCACGATCAGGTTTTGCGATTTAGGGTGCATGTTTGTGTGATTCAGGGTGTAAGATGTGGAGTGAGACTTTAGGCGCAAGACCATTCAGAGAAAGCGTACCGATGGCACAAGCTGAGGGTTCAAGGTACACTGGTACCGAAGCCTGGCACATTTACAGCTTTTTTCATTCCGCTCAGTATACGAGTTAATACCTATAGTCTATAGCAGTAGGATGTAGTAAGCATAAAAAGAATTCGACCTGTTTATTATGCCAGCATAGACCCCAAACCCGAAACCCTTAACCCCTAACGCTAAACCGTCAAAGACTTCACCTAAGACCAGAGCCCCTTGGAAGCCTCCGAAAATACTTACAAACCCTGTCGAGAGATCCTAAACCCTAAACCCTGCACAGAAAATCCATATTAACATAATGACATGTCTATGTTGAATTCAGTGTATACTAGTCATAAAAGTGTGACTATAATCTTGTCAAAAAAAGTTAATATATCATATAAGCACGAAACCCTAAACCTTAAACCCTAAACCCTTAACCCTAAACCCTAAACACTATATGAAAACCTTTTGTCGGACAGGGCCCGCCCGGAGCTTGGGGCTGTGGAGCTTCTGGCGGCATTACCCGGCGCCGGCGCGGAAGGAGAGGGCCACTTGGTAATGTAGAGGGCACCATAAGGGATACCATAGTGCCATAAGGGTTATATATATATATATGTGTGTGTATATGAGTTGTATAAGGGGACACGATAGGGGCCACAAGGGTCCCATAAGGCGTAAGAGTACGATGAGGGTGAGGCTAGAAGCCTGAATCATTGCCTTACCTTGATTACTCCGGAAAGTTCCTTGTTATACTTTTACACCAGGTTTGTATCCCCCTCCCACCCCCGCCGCCCGGAAACCCTACTTTGATATGAAGGCCCCGTAGTACACAGAGCGTTGGGTTGTCATGGTTTGGGGGTTGTTCGAAGCCCAGTCAAAGATGTTGTGGATGCAGATGCTTGGCACGTCGTGCCTCTAGCTTCCCTTGATTGGTTGACGGTATATAGGGTTGTCTTGAGTATCGTGCTTCTTAGCTTTATCAACAATTTGTCCCCCATGTGCAAATTCATCAGTACCACCGGTACGTTACATTTTGCACAACTACACCCCTAAACCCTAAACCCTCATGATGCTCTCAACCACAAAAAGAAGCCCTGATGATGCTGTGCTACCTCGCAGCGTCTGGTTTGTCTCTTCGGAGATGCCCCAAGGCCCAGCTCCATCGCTGGTCAGCCAGAGGATGGCCCTGAACCTTCTGGCTCTGGACCTCTCGGAAAATCACCTGGCAGGAAGAGGGCTTTAGGGTTTGGGGTTTAGGGTTTATAGGGGTTTAGGGTTTAGGGTTTAGGGCGATCTAGAATGAGAGGGGTTTGAGGAGATGGGTACTACATGGAGGTTTGGCATACAGAGAGCATTGTTGAACAATCTTGCAGGGTTCTATCATGAGGCACGTAATGACCAGTTACTGGCTGAGGTGAGAAATGTTCTACCCATTGAACCAAAGAACTGCTTTGCCAAATCTCAAACTCCGAACACCCGAATCGTGAAGACTACTTTCGCAGAGCTAGAAGCTACAAAACTTGGGAGGAGAACGACTCGTACCGGTCGACGGGTTGCTGCCACACTTAGCCCAGATCGAGATTCCTACTAAACATGTTCTGCCAAGTGCACTTCTCGCTGCCTTTAGTAAACAACCTTTAACCTTTCGGGGCGTATGCAATCCTACTATAATTAAAATGGCCAACTTTTTTTTTGGGCTAGGTTACTCGGCCCCTTTAGTGCCATGACAGGCGCCGGCCGCACCATGGCGCTTCTCCTCCGCTACTGCCACCAGCTTGCGCTGCTCCAGCTGGAAGACTGTGACTGGCTCGCACCGAGCCGGTGCTTCGAGGTAAGGGTCTAGGGGTTTAGGGATTAGGGGGTTTAGGGGTTTATAGGGTTTAGGGGTTTATAGGGTTTAGGAGTTTAGGGTTCAGGGGATATGGCGTTTCTGAGCAGAGAGGCGTCAGAAAAGCAGCCTTTGTCCGTTCTTGGCTTGTCTGGTGCCTAGATCATGCCACAGGTCGCCCAACAACTGGACATCCAGGTTCTGGGATATCGGAGACGAAGTGAATACTTGCATCTCAGAGCTGTTCCCCCCTCTGTGACTCACATGCAGTAGTAAAGATGTTTAGCAATGATGCAGAGGACAGTTACTAGGATGAGACGATGTAGATCATAAACATGCAGACTCAAGCTCCTTTTCGAGACGGTGTAGACCACAAAAACTGCAGACTAAAGCTCTTCTGCGGAATCCTCTTTTAAAGACCCAATAGCCCCAGATTTCAAGCTCTTAACCTGGTCCGTCTCAGTATACTCTCTAAACCCGAAAGAATCCCTAAACTCCACGGGCTCAACAGAAAACGTACAAGAGCTCTCAAGACCCCAAGACATGGGCTTCGGGTTTAGGATTCATGGTTTGGGGGTTTAGGGTTTAGGCCCTAAGCCCGAAACCGATCGACAAGTGTACCAACCAAAGCGAAGCCCAAGGTGGACTAAGCTTGGAAGACCTCACGCTGCTCTGCCGGGCGTTGGCTCGCTCGCGTGCCCTGGCGTGACCGAGTGTATCGGAAACCCAGGTTTAGCGATTGGTAATATATAGGGGCCGTAATAAGAAATAGAATAGGGTTTGAGGGTATATTCTACTATAACTATAACAAGGAACCCCCAAAGCCCCTGTTCTTATTAAGGCCCCCCACCTTAATTTCAGGCCGACTAAATCCATAGCTGGGCTTCGGGTCGCAGGGATTTCAGAGTTCCAGCCTCGCTTAGAGTTGAAAGTCTTTATCTCAAGCAAATGAGAGGCGTCAAGCAAGCGAAGCGTGAGGAGCCTGACTTCAACGAATTTCCTGACATTCTCTCACCATAAAAACGCAGTTTCAGCGTCAGAGAATTTCAGGGCATTGTACCTCATGCACACCAGAGGCCGGACTCCAGCGACCAAGTAGCAAGCCCTCTAACCTTCACGACTTCGCCTGAAGACCCAAGACCGTAAACTCCTAATTTCCTACACCCTCAACCCCCAAACCCTAAACCCTGAACCCTAAGCTCCCAAACCCTAAACCCTGAACCCTCAACTCCCAAGCTCCTAAACCTAACAGAAATAACCCTGAACGTCAAACAGGACACAAATGAAACTCGGGGCTCAAGGCGTGGAGCGGCTTGACCTGGCCGGCAACAACCTGCGACGCGAGGGTCTCCTCGTCGTGGCCAGGATCGGTTTAGGATTAACCTTAAACCCTCCAAAACCCAGCCTTTTAGTGACCTACAGTACATTCTGGCGAAAGGAATCATAATTATAAGGATCGCTAAACAGGAAGGTTCTTCAGGGTCCAGGTATGTCGGATTTCGGGGTAAGTTGGCTGCAAGATCACCAGACTTGGCGTTTTAGGGACTGGGGCTGACCAAATGCCTGGAAGTTCATGCAAGACATGGGAGCAACCGTTACACTACAGTTGTCATCGACTTCATGATGTTCATCGTCAGGTGGAGAAAAAGAAGCCGTAGAAGTCTAATATAGGACCTTAATAATTAGAATAGGGTTTGGGGTATATTATACTATAATTCTGATAAGGAACCCCCAAAACCCTATTCTTGTTATAAGGCCCCTACATTAGTAGCAGGAGCCGCCGGCTGCAGCAGCAGCACCCAGAGAACCCAATACCCCTATATTAAGGAATATACCTTAAATCCCAATATTAAGGCCCCTATAATCTAAGGCATATTCCTTAATTAAGGTATATTGGGTTCTCTGGGCAGAAGTAGAAGGAGGATTGCCTAGAGCACGAGTTTCATGTTGTACTTGGCAGTCAGTCATCACTTAATGTAGAAGTCGGAATAATGGTCCTTAGGGTTCCTTGTTTTGAACTTATTATAGTATATCCCCCAAACCCGATTCTAATTATCAAGGCCACTATATTGTATTAGTGGGAGCCAAAAACCCAAGACTATGAGGGCCCGCGGCCGACTGACAGAAGCCTGGCACAAGGAAAGGCAAATAGATGAACACATGAACACTGACATATGCATATACATGTATAAAAATACATGCAGACAGACATACATACATACATACATTCATTCATTCATACATACATACATACATACACACATACATGCATGCATGCATGCATGCATGCATGCATGCACATACATACATACATGCAT